AGCGGCGCGCTATTCTAATACCGAATATTCCAGCGTGCGAAGTAACTCTGAATAAATAAAATGGCAACAGTACTTGAAAAATTATCTTTCTTATGATCTGTTGTTTATTTGTTGAATTCATGATGGATTATCGTGCTGAACTTTGGGCAATACCCAAACATCATTAGTCAACACCACTGAGACCAGAAATAGCTGCGTTTAGCCGAAGTATTGCCCTGTACCTATTTACAGCAAATATAAACGTAATCGATGTTTGTTTTTGCTCATGTATGTAGTTATTTTATATTTATTTAATTACTTTATTTTGTATATTGCAATACGTGTAGTTTTGGTTTTATAATTATAGTGCATTTTACATTATTTTAGATGCGGCCAGTCGTAGCAAGAGCGTAGCGGCGAATCTCGGCAAAAGTTTTACTCCTGGTTCGAATGTTCAGGTTACTAAAATTCCTGAAGAATGCCTTCTTTTGGATCTTCCCGTGTCTTCAAATATTGGCGACCGCATAGGTACCTCAGTGGCATCCAGCGTCATTGATTCTACAGCGGCAGCAGATTCTCGTCAATTGCCTCTCGCTCTCGAAATGAATACCAGAACAGTAGGAGACGACCTATGTGAAGGAATGAAGGCGAAAGTTTCTTGTCCGATAAGCGGCGAGATGGTGGTCACGCAGAGGAAAAGTTTCTACGACCCACAAGTGAGCTCACAAACCACATCGAGGGTCAATGGGGATGCGGAAGTGCTTTCATCTACGTCAGACCTCGTTTTTGGAACGACTTCTTTTCCGAGTGACACTCTGCGTCCATCTGCACGACGACGGGTCACGGTACTTCAGAAGAATCGACCAGGTGCAACGCGCAACTTTTTTATTTGAGACTGCAGTATGTTATGTAAATCATTCGGTCAGGTTCAGGGTACATCGATCGTTAATACAGCTGATTAGCCATCCGTAGGTCTTCGGATCGAGTTCTGTTTAGGTCGTTAGCCTCAGTTCCTTTCATAAGGAATAAGCACTGCCGTATAAAAAATAAATGCTAATAACTGAAGGAACGACACGAAAGCAGTTTCCTAATATAGAATGTAATGAAGTGTTCCACATTGACTAACTGATTGACTCTATAACTCACTGAACGGCTGAATGGTTAAATAGCTGATCGATTGACTGACTAACTTTCGCTGTAGGGAAAGCCAGCATTTGCAGTCCGAAGTACACCACTCTTAAAGAGCTTCTACTCGGTTTCCGCATCAGTGCTCATCACCGGGATCTGTTCAAACCTTCTGCGATATTGTTTGCAAGTTTTTCTCTCGTATCCGCCAAATATGATGTTTTCTGTTTGATTCTCTGACTGTTTCTGCCACCAGATCGTCGCATCGTACTACATTTCTCGTAGCGTAGCATGCGAACAACAAAGCGGTGGTCGGCTGATAGCTCAGCGTCTCTCTTAACACGAAAATCTATTACAACTCCGCGGTCTCATGAATCATAGTTAGGTTTTTAATGCATAGAAATTAATAGGAATTTAATTTTTCATTTGCGAATTTTTACCTAATGTATATTACGTTAGGTTTTAAAAATGTTACGATCCTGGCTAATGGAGGTCATCGCCGTATTTGAAACTGTTTGAACAAGGGTTCTGCAGTAAGGCCCACAGCGATGTACTAGTCAGATTCGATGCCAAAGTCGAGTTTTAAATTTTATTAAAAGGAATAACCTGCTTTATAGTCAAAAGATGCCCATCTTCATCTCGCAGCGTTCCACGATTCAGTGGTCTTGGTAGATATTTCATGTTTGTAATGTTAGATGTGCATAGATGTAATGCACTTTCAAAAACAGCAATGATCCGAATGCAATTCTTTGTATCATTGTCGAATTTTTGTTTCATATTTTTATATTTTTATGCCATTCGTTTTGATGGCGTTTTCTGGAAATGAACGCATTAGTAATGTCGTTACTTCTTCTTGGAGTATTTTTTTAAGCCATAGATTTAGAATGATTAAAGTGAATTTGTATTTAATCATTAATGGGCCGCTAATATAAAGCGAACATCATGTCTCGGATTTAAGTCTCTGACGACTACTATGGCATTGTTTCTTTTGTTAATATTTTTTATATGATCTTTCAAGTATGTCAAGCGTTAAGATTTTTCAGTCAGCCAGTAATGACCGCTGAATTTTATTTTAGTTTACAAACCGCTGTATTTGAAGGGACAGTCTCCACTTGGCACTATGCAAGGAATTCCTCTGGCGCATTACCGCGGGTATATAACGGTATTTCCTCGTTATAGCGCGAGGGTTTTCAGCGCACCGGCCCTCGCGCACCGCAAAAAGAGAAAGAAGTTTTCGTTGAAACGAATTTTCGAAGAATCATTCGAATTCCTGACCCAAGAATTGAAGCTGTTACAAGACATTCCGTTCATGCTGTTCGTGTTGAGTAATTTCCTCCTTTACACGTTCTACGACATCCCGTACGTGAATCTGCCGGACTATGTGAACGAAAACGTCGGTGATGTAGACGATGATCTGGCGTCGTCACTTATATCCGTCATCGGCATCGTCAACACCATAGCCATGCTACTGTACGGTTTCATCGCCGACCGAAAATTTTTTAACAGTATTCTTTGGTACGGCATCAGCGTGACGATGTGTGGTTTGGCGGTGCTCGCCATACCGTGGATTCACTCGAACGTCGCACTTTACGCCATCTGCGGCATTTTCGGCTTCTGCATCGGTGCCAACTACACGCTCACCTCCGTCATACTCGTCGAGCTGATGTCGATTTCAGATTTCGTTTATTCTTACGGCCTGATCTGTCTCATGCAGGGCTTTGGAACTTTAATTGGACCACCGTTCGCTGGTGAGTATTCTTTTGTTTTTGCTTCCTTCTGGAAAATCGCATAGCGTTTGTACTCTTCATATTTATTATTTAATTTATTATTAACGTTTTATAGTAACAAATCTGTCTACAAATCCATATTCACATTTTATTCTCAATCTCCGTAGCTTCTACTCACCATTTCTGACATCTGCCTGCACTTCTCCCCGGCTCATCTATGCTTCCATAAGTCCTTTAAATTAATTGTTGCACATTTACTCTTT